TCTCTGATGTGAACGGCATGTATGGATCTATAGAACATGATGAATGTCTCGTTTCACTTCAGAAACTCTTTCACTGGAGATCCTCCAAAGGAACGTCAGGTGGAACTTTGACTAGAACTCCTGACATTTTCTGTATTCAGAGACGTGAAGAACGGACCGCCGTGTGTTTGTGCATGCGTGTGGGCTCAGACAAAAAGAAACTTCATGTAATAATAAAGCCACATTCCTTTAGAATAACTTTTCAGATGAAGATGATGTTCTGCCAGGATGAAGATCTGTTTGTCTTGGTTTAAATGCCTGCATACATATGTGTTCTGAAACATGGCGTAAATAAAATATTACACACAACAGATTCAAATCTTACATTTCAAATCAACTTTCTGTAAATTTAATGGGAGCTGCATCCCAAAAATATTTCAATAAAGACCCTTCAACACAAAAAAACTGTCAGGATGAGACGAAATGCGAGGAGAGGTTTAAAACGTGCCACAGGAACTTGTTGGATTCTTTAAGATAAAGCTGTTATGTAAGCGTTTGTGTTTAATCTGGACTTGCAGTCCTCTTACATCATATCTTTAAGAATCTTAAAAGTTTTTTTACACTTGAATCGTTATTCTGATGCAACAATAAAACATCAAGACAGCTGCCAGTCTTACCCAGACCGGCAAACTCACCCCGAGGTCAGACCATGCAAACCGAGACAGAGACAAGTCAGACTCTGTGGGCCTCATTTAGCAGGGTAAAGGTCAAAGGTCAGGATGGCAAGGTTAGAAACAGACTGAAAAGTGGCTCGTTTGGAAAGTCTCTTCTCTGAAACAAACATGGCAGCTCAACGTTTTCTTTTTACTCCTCTGGCCTGGAGGAGGAGTGTCACAGAGAGGAGGAGCATTACTCGATTCATCCTCATGGTTTTCTTTACATCTCGGATTAACCAAGTTCAGGTGTGCCGATCAGTAAAGTTCAGGTGTGCCGATCCGTAAGGTTCAGGTGTGCTGATCGATAACAAGTCAGGTGTGTCCATTAGTAACAAAGTTAGGTGTGTCAATTAATTGCAAAAGTCAGGTGTGGCCATTAGTAACAAAAGTCAGGTGTGCCCATCAGTAAGGGTCAGGTGTGCCGATCGAAAACAAAGGACAGGTGTGCCAATCAATAATATGTCAGGTGTGTCGATTAGAAGCAAAATCAGGTGTGTCTATCATTAAAGAGCAGGTGTACTGATCAGTAAGGATCAGGTGTACCAATCAGTAAGGTTCAGGTGTGCCGATCGATAGTGTCAGGTGTGTCCATTAGTAACAAAGTTAGGTGTCGATTAGTTGCAAAAGTCAGGTGTGGCCATTGGTAACTAAAGTCAGGTGTGCCCATCAGTAAGGTTCAGGTGTGCCGATCGATTACAAAGGACAGGTGTGACAAACAATAATATGTCAGGTGTGTCGATTAGTAGTAAAAGTCAGGTGTGTCTATCAGTAAAGATCAGGTGTGCCGATGAGTAAAGAGCAGGTGTGCCCATCAGTAAAATTCAGGTGTGCCGATCAGTAAGGTTCAGGTGTGCCAATCRATAACAAGTCAGGTGTGTCCAGTAGTAACAAAGTTAGGTGTGTCAATTAGTTGCAAAACTTAGGTGTGGCCATTAGTAGCAAAAGTCAGGTGTGCCCATCAGTAAGGGTCAGGTGTGCCAATCGAAAACAAGGGACAGGTGTGCCAATCAATAATATGTCAGGTGTGTCGATTAGTAGCAAAATCAGGTGTGTCTATCATTAAAAAGCAGGTGTATTGATCAGTAAGGATCAGGTGTGCCGATCGATAATGTGTCAGGTGTGTCCATTAGTAACAAAGTTAGGTGTGTCGATTAGTCGCAAAAGTCAGGTATGCCAGTTGGTAACAAAGGTTAGGTGTATCAATTACTAAAAAAGTCAGGTGTGTCAATCAGATATGGCGCAGACAAGAGGATCATTAGTCGCTTCATCCTCGTCATCATCAATAATTAACTAAACATGTGTCTTTACATCATAACTGTCCGTGTTCTCATTATAACCTCTGTACAGCTGTAAAAACAAGACACAGAGCAGATTGGTCACTTGCTGCAGCTCATATTAGCTTCCATCTGTCATCGGATTAAAAATAACTGTTAAATCTAAAACACCACTAAGACCAGGCAGGACCTTCCCCACCCAGCGTCTTTACCAGATGCAACAGATGTGAGACAGAACAACATGAGACTCGTGGCATCCACATGTGACGCTTCAAACTCTGAAATCCCTCTAATGTTTTCACTCATTTCACAAAAGAGAAACGACTGTTTCTGTCCACAGGGCTGCAGAAACCAGAACTGTTGGTCGGATTTAAAGAAAATAGCTCAAAATAGGAACAAAATCCACATTTTATTGCTCTCAGTAAAGATGGTTATTATTAATCAGTGACACTTTGGATGCATTGGTACATAATGTATTTATCCTCAGATTTGTTAAATAAAGTATGACGAAAAAAGTGTTTTGTTTACATTGAGTACAGACCCACATTTCAGAACTACTTTTAATACATCAAAAAAAAACTAGGGGGTTAAACTCTTTCAAACCGTTCGATAAAGTTCAGGATACCTTTTTTATGTTTGCTTTCACTCTTTATAGTCTTTATTTCTGATTGGATCAATATCGAGCTGCAGAAATTGATCCGACTTCCTGTTTTTGAGTCGGGGGAAAAAAGTTAGTGATGTCATGTTTTATAAGAGTTCATCCCCCTCAGTTTCGTTAAAACAGAACTCATCTAACGAAGCTGTTTTCAGGTGTTTGAAGTGTCAGACATGCTCATGTTCCCACCACCACGGTGGGAATAATAATTCTGTGCTTTAGGTTCTGTTGTTTACCCGACTTTCTGCAAAAATATGTAAAATATTTGCACTTTTCTTCCATCAAAAGCTGGAAACATCAAACTTTATGTCACATCCCTTCAGTTTTAGCAGATATTTGATCACCTGCTTTGAGTTTTCAACGTCTAAATTCAGTTCTGATCCAGAGTTCTGGCTGTGAAAAAAGAACTCTGTCAGTGTGAATCTTCATCATCCTGGCTGTTTATCTCATTTCTGTCAAACATAGTTGTACTCAGAGATTATGCTCAGTTTATTTCAGAAACACGGTCCAATTCGACTCCTGAAGTCCTGAAAAATACATTTTCTAACTAATAATCCTGCAGTCAGAGTGGATCTTTGAGCTAAATTTGGATTAAACCCCTCCAGATGTTTCTATAACAACAGCCGTACAAACAACCATCTGATGCCAGTTATAAAACTCCCATCTCAGTCAGAATCTGGACAGAGCCGATGCAGGTCCACCTTTCTGACCCATCTCTGGATTTGGAGTCCCGTCTGTGAGGAGAATCCTCGGGGTGAGGCGGGTGCAGAGATGGAAATCCCAGATGTGAGCGCGCTCGGGCAGCGCAGCCGGATTAAAACTCTGAACATCAAATTGTCTTATGTAACGGGCCGTAATGCTGACAGCAGCAGTGCCGATTACACAATCCTGGCCCGGAAAGCAGGAGACACTCCTGCACGTGGGTGTGCACGCTCACTCAGGAGAAACCAAACTGCTGTCATGTGACCTGGCGTTAAAACACAACAACAACACATTTAGACTCCAGGCTTAGTTGTTTCTTTAATTTACTGTCGGGTTAGATTTTTTTTATAAACTACTGCTGTAAAAAAACTTTCTGTCATCACTGCTCAAGAATCAGTGAGAACACGTTCAGAGCCAGAACTGGGTCATTCTGAAATTCTCCTCCAAGTTACATCAATTTTTAATCCTCAGAAATCACTTCTGTCCTCTGAAGAGAAAACATTTAAAATACGTTACTGTCATAAAAAAGTAACAGTTTTATTATGATGGCAGTTCTGTAAGGTACAGAAAAGCAAGAAACACCAGCGGAAGTAATTACCAAACATCAGCTACGCTGATGATAAAGGTCAGCTGTGCTGATAGATAAAGGTCAGGTGTGCAGATCGATAAAGGTCAGGTGTGCAGATTGATAAAGGTCAGGTGTGCTGATGGATAAAGGTCAGGTGTGCCGATCGATAAAGGTCAGGTGTGCCGATCGATAAAGGTCAGGTGTGCCAATCGATAAAGGTCAGGTGTGCCAATCGATAAAGGTCAGGTGTGCCGATCGATAAAGTTCAGGTGTGCTGATCGATAAAGGTCAGGTGTCCCGATTGTTAAATGTCAGGTGTGCAGACTGTTAATAAATGTCAGGTGTGTCAATTGTTAAATGTCAGGTGCGCTAATTGAAATAGATAAAATGTGCCGATTGGTAAAATTCAGGTGTGTTGATCAAWAACAAAAGTTAGATGTGCAGATCAAAAATGAAGGTCAGGTATGCCAATTAGTAAAAATGATGGGTGTGTGGACCGGCAACAAAGATGTGTGTCTCCATTCGTAAAGGTCAGGTGGGCCCATCTCTGTCAAAGATTATTTGTGCTGATCAGTAACATGTACCAGGATTATAACCTGCTAACGTGAATGGATTACTGTCACAGTTTTAAATAACTCATTCATCCATTCATCTATTATCTTTTACCTGTTTCTTACTTTCAGGGTCACAGGGGTGAAATAACTCAGATTTTTTTTCTACATCAGACCAGTGTTGATTCAACTCTTTTCTGTAGCAGAAAAATCCCTAAAACCTGAAGGATGGTGGGAATCAGAATCTTATTTGGAGATTTCTGTACGTTGTGGCAACTTTCTGAGTTGAGTCTTTTACATTGTTGTCCTGATTCTTTTCAGAAGGTTTAAAACCAGAACCATCAATCCCAGCCACCTGTCTAATTCTGGCTCTGTGAGAATGTGATATTCAGACTCAGATGATAAATGTTGGTGTGCTCTCCAGCTGCAGTTGGACCTGTTGAAGACAGAGGGTTTAACCCCCCCTGTAGCTCTGTGACAGAACTGATCCGCCTGCTGTCTGTTGTTGCAGCAGATTTATCTTCTTACCACAAAAAGCCCTCGTTCCACTCGCTGTGAAAACGCTGAACCGGATCCTGAACGGATGCTCGTCTTTTGTTGCAGCAGAGAGCAGGAGAAGACCCGGTTTCTGTGAACTATATCAGGTAAATCTGACCGGGCTGAGAGCTTCTCCGGTTTCTGATGGTAAACCTGAGATTGAGCAAACGCTTTGAACGTTAACGTTGAAGCTTCCGTTTTGCTTCCTGCTGAATCTGTTCCATACCAGTTTTGCTGCTCGCTGCCAGCAGCCCTGCTACACTTTCACTTGTTCAGTCATGGGAATAAATTTCAGGTTAATTCGGGATTATTGTCACCATCATGTATGACACATATAAACACTTTAATCATGGAAACTAAAAATAATCATGTTGATGTTTTGATGTTCTGAAGTAAAATAAAACTCATTTTCAGCTCAGCGAAAGAGGCCGACAGTGAAATGTGGCGTTTAGTGACAAAATGAGATGAAAGCAAACATTTTTATATTTATATGCATTTGTTTACTGCAACATGCATTGATTAAACCTTTAGATTTATCACTTTAACTGACTTTCTGCAGTCAATTCCTTTGTTCAACACATCCAACATGGAGGTTAGGTCCAGAAGTCCTGTTTGTGTTTCTCTCCTGCAGCTGGAGCAGCTGGATGGCAGCATTCTGCATCAGAACATCTTCTGACATGGACAACTTGTGCTCGCTCAGTCCCACCGAGGTAAAAAAATAATAATAATAATAAATTTTTAAAAAATGTTGGTTTTTACAACAACATACTTCCACAACTGTGTTTGTTTTTATGCCTGCAAATCCCCTTTGGAACCTTTTTTTACTTATTCAACCTCAAATTTCTTGTTTCTGTGTCAACAGGAAGTAGAAAACCCTTCAATCAAACATGAGTTCTGCAGTAGGGACGTTGATGAAATCATCCAACCCAAGGTATCGAGACTGGTTTTGGTGCTTTTTAAGACATGAATGGAAAATCTGTGGCATGAAGCCTCACTTAAAGAACCACACAGGTGTGCAGACAGGTGGGAGCAAACACCGACAGCAGGTTGTCAACAAACCCATCTGATTAGAGAAGGTGAGCAGAGAAGCGGGTTTTCTGTCTCAGGTTTGGATTATTTCTCCGAGTTGCTTCTCTCAGCACCTGTCAGACCTCCTGCAGGCGTCTGACTCATTTTCAGCAGGACTCCCAGCTGCCTGCGGGACACTGGGATATTTTTAACCATCCTTCCYCCTGTCTGCTCCTCCTCTGCCTCAGTCCTGGTCAGGTCTACACCGCCATGCTGCCAGATTAATCCAGTCAGAAATAAAACTGTCAAACCTGTGTTTGCATTTAATACAACTTTATTTCTTTAGCACCTTTCAGACACAAACTCAAAAAGCTGAACTGTTTAAAACATAAAAACAAAAAGGCAGTTTATAAACACTGGTTTGGTATGGGGTGCCATTTGTAAAGCAACTTGTGCATAAAAATACCAGCTAAATTTTGAAAAAAGTAGCGTGGATTTTCTAACGTCACCTTTTATCACATTTAAGTAGTTAAATCTAAATGTTAAAACTAAATGCTAAATATAAATGCTAAATGACTTTCTGCAGTCATTTAGCATTTAGACTTTTCTGCAGAAAATGAGTGTAGCAAATGTAAATGCTAAATCTAAATTCTAAATGCTAAATCTAAATGCTAAATGTTAAATGCTAAATGTTAAATGTAAGTGCTAAATCTAAATGCTAAATGTTAAATTTAAATGCTGAATGTTAAATCTAAATGTTAATGCTAAATGCTAAATGTAAATGTTAAATGCTAAATCTAAATTCTAAATGCTAAATCTAAATGCTAAATGTTAAATGCTAAATGTTAAATGTAAGTGCTAAATCTAAATGCTAAATGTTAAATTTAAATGCTGAATGTTAAATCTAAATGTTAATGCTAAATGCTAAATGTAAATGTTAAATGCTAAATCTAAATGCTAAATGTTAAATCTAAATGCTAAATCTAAATGCTAAATGTTAAATGCTAAATGTT